AGAGAGAAGAGCCTTAGAGCTAGAGTATAATTATATGCATGTATTAACATATTTAGAGAGTTACAATATATCTATATACCATAGGCCAACTAGCTTCTTTGCAGTTAATAATTTCTTGCCTTTTGCTTGATGCTGTCAATAATTCTCATGTTTTATACCAGCTAATTCTTTTGGCAAGTTTAAGTCGACAAACTCATTTAACATTCAAACTACTTCAGAAACCTTTTAGTGAAAGGCAAAAACAAACCAAAAAAAAAAAAAAATCCTCGTACAGCTTAGCGGCTGACTAATTTTATGTCTCTGTGGAACGGTCTGCTCACGCTTTCAGCGAATTTTAAAAAGCCAATCTCATCATTTGGTTGCCTTTAGAATGTCGTTTTATAAGCCCGAATATTGCCTGTGGCACTGGGCCAAAATGACAAAAATTAAATGCCACAACACAGCAAAGAAAACAAACCGAGAATACCGCAAAAAGAAAAACGAAAATGGAAAATGGAAAGCCACAAAAATGTAAGAAAAACAAAACACAAGAACTGAAAGGACTGAAACCAAGTCTCATAATTAAAAATTAAGCCATTCGCCTATTAGTTTTAACCCTCATTAACTTTAGATAAACTAATCTCCAAAGTAAACCACTCGCATTCATGGCCTTTTGTGTGAGAGACCGCGCACGACCCTGCCCGAGGGTGGACCCAACCAAGCCAGCCACCCACCCAACCACACCAACGCACACCCACGCACACACCCACACACAGTGCAGCGCACTCTGTTTTCAGGGCGCGCCTACAGTGCGTGAAAAGCTCATCAAATGGGCGCGCTCTTAGAAAATCCCCATGACTTTTTTGCTCCGCCAATTGTGCTGCACAAAATGATGTAGAAACAGGACAAACCTAATAGTATGCAGAGCAAGGATAACAGCAGAAGCAGCAACAGCAGCAGCCGCAGCAGCAGTTGAAGCGGCGACAGCGACAGCGGCGGCAGAAGTCAAGAGAAAGGAAAAATAATTAAAAACGCAACCTTGATAAAAATGAAATGTTTACAAAGACACACAGGCGCACGAAATAATAAAAAAAAAAAGAAAGAAAAAAAAACTGTGACAAGAAAACGAAAAAACCTAAGGAAAAAAATACTATTGAAAGGCTAAAAAAGCACAGAAAAAAAAATATAAGAAAAGCGAAGAAGTAGAAGAAACATTTTCAGTGCTCAGAAAACCAAAACAAAAACGGATACACGCAGCGGATGCAAAGTTTACTCAAGCAAGCCAAGGAGACGTGGGCGGCGAGGACGGCAAAGGCGTGGCAGGTCGAGTCACCCAGCCGAAGGAAACTGAAACGCAGAATGCAAACTCAAGCGAAAGAAAACATAAAATTAAAAGAGCATTTTTTTTTTATGCTGCTACAAAATGCCTGGCCATATGCTGCTCCCCAAATATAGTATATATGTATATGTATATATATTGTAGTATATACGATAAACTAAAAGAATTTAACTCAGCTAAGACTAATCGAAAGAAACTTAATACAGAGAGAGAGAAATGCGCTTAACTTAAAAAACTTATGGAATGAAAACTTGAGAACTTGGCTCAAAAGCGTAAAAAGAAGCTTAAACAAAATTAAATAGTGAATTAAGTTTATTTATAAAATATAATAAACATTCGAAAGTTTTTAAAAATCGATTGAGCATGACTTTAGTTATAGACATGTAGGAAGAGCATGATTTAAACGAGCTTGAAAAAACTTTAACTGAGTTTCGAAAATAAAAAAAGTACCTTTTAAGATAAAGAAATATTCCATTTAAAAATATTCTATTTTAGCTCAAGTCCTAATTGTAATATAAATAGCTTTCAAATGAAAAATTATTGTATATAAAAAAAAAGTAAATAAAATTATTATAACATATTAATAAAATAATTTGAAAAAAAAAAACTCCATTCCATTTCGATTTCTCTTTTTTGTCCATTATGATTGCTTTTCCCATTGCAGAGTAATTTTTATTATCTATTTAGAAACGTACACAGTTCTGTTGAAAGTTATAGAATATGCGTTTATGTATATAAATTATTGCTACTTATAGTTTAAACATGAACTTTGCTCTTGCACAATCAGTTTAAAAACAATACGATAATTACAAAGCGCTAAAAATTGAGCAAATTACGCGAAGCACTTGACTTTAGACCCCTAAATCGAAGTATTTTATAATATAATAATAGTTTTAAATATTTATCTGTATATAGAAGCGGGCAAACAATTTACAATTTAACAGAGGCTGCCCGATTAGCTAATGATAGTATTAATATTAATAATACGAATAACTTGAGTCTAATTAAACAATTTACTATGCAAAACATAGAGATGCTAGATCAAGAAATCGTTACACAAATCACACAAATTACAAATATTACAAGATCGATATACAATGCGAATAAAGCTAATTATTAATCGACATACGAATTGGTCAATTGTCATGGCTGAGTTGCTCTCAAGGAGCTGGTCGATTATGATTCTGTTGCTGCTGCTGCTGCTGTTTCGATTGGCCAGCCTCCGATTTATTCTCGCGCACCATCAACAGCAGCTGCAGCATCATCAGCGCCTCCACCTTGTCCAGTGGGTCCATGAAGCCGCGCTGCAGCCACTTGGGTATGGTGGTGCGTGCATGACTAAAGCCGAGCTTATTCAGTATATAATCCACGCCATATGGCTCGATGGATTTCCCCGCCCAGGAGAGCAGTCGTACCGTCGGCTCTAGATGCCAGGTCTGGCAGTCAAAGTGTCGCCAATCCCGCACAAAGGACTCAATATCAAAGCTGGGCAGCTGTGCATTGGCTTCTGTGCCAGCCTTGGGCTGTGCACTGCCGTCCTTAATATCGCTCGCAGCTGCATTTGCTGCTGTTGCTGCAGTTGCTGCTGTCGTTGGCTGCGTTGTAGTTGCTGCCGTTGTTGCTGCTGTCGTTGTCGCAGTTGTTGCTGTTGTCGCAGCGTTCGCTGCTGTGGCAGTAGTCGTTGCCGTATTCAGATTCGTATGACTGCCCTGCAGTGGCTCCAGGCTGCTCTTGCTGCCACTCAGCTGCTGGTTCTGCACAGTCAAATTCGTATTGGAGGCGCCCTTCTTCTCCTTGAGTATGTCATCAGTTATGAAGGGCTTCAGGTTCGCCTTTTGCGACAGATTTGGCGAAGCGGCGCGCGCCGATTGAGCGCCGAGCTGCAAGCGAGCAAAAGCCAAGCATAAGCAAGGGAATCTCTTTTTTTCTTAATAACATTCACTCCATTCACTCACCACTTTCTCTTTCTCAGTCACATACGATGTGATTAGATCATGCAAAAAGAAAAACGCGTCGGCGTCCACAGTGACAAATATGTGATCATCGAACTCGGTAATGAAGCTGCACAAGACTTCAGGTTTCGTTTCTAAAGGAAAGTCCAATATCCAATATTATCCATAAAAGCAAATTCATTTCATGTAACTCACCAGTTGGCTCTGGCGTGGTGTTGCCCTGCTTGTGCTCGGTCTTGAAATACAGCTGCAGGCTGGGCAGCGCGAAGATGACCTCGCGGTTGTGATTGTGCTCCTGCGATTTGGCCGAGCTGCTGCTGCCCGAGGCACGCGTGCGTTCAATCGAATTGGAGGCTATCTCGCGCTCGCACTCCAGCATGGGGAAGCGATCCACGGCTGGTAAAGAGAATGCGGATAAGTAATGAATAAAACTCAAGTAATTAATTGCTTCACTCACCGTCAATTTCGCTGTTGGCGAATGCATAGTGGAACCATTCGTTGAGGGTCTTGAATTGAGGTGGGAAGATAATGTTGCGTGTGATGCGACTGACGATGGCCATGGAGTGGTTCTGCTGCTGCTGCACCTCCGTCGTCTGGCCCAGGCAGGAGGTGAGGGTCTGTGTGACGTGCACCTCACTGGAGTCCTCCAGCTGGCGCGCCTCAGTTGTGAAATTAATGGAGGGCGACTTCAGACTGAACAGCGCCCAAGCCTTCGACTTGAAGTTGATGCCGTGGAAGCAGGCGAGCGAAATGTTCTGACCACGCAGATCCACGGTGCCGCCCAGCACGTTGCCATGGCGAGGCAGGCGGGTGACCAGCGACGGCACCACCAGCCCAATGGCCTGGGCCAGCGGCTTCTGCCAGTGGCGATGATGACGTGCATCCGTATTCTCCACCCCACTTAGGCTGGGAGCAGCCGCAGCTGGTGGTAGCTCGCCATTGGGCTTCTTCTTCAGCTGCTGGCGCCGCTTGATGCTCGCCGTGCGATCCTGGAGACGCGGCTCGAGGCTGGAGAAAACGCGCTTGGAGGACTTGAACTGCTGCGTAAAGAACTCTTCGAGCTTGAAGTACATCTTCATAAGGTCCGCCGTCGTCGACTTCGATATCATGATCTGCAATTGATCCCAGCTGAGATCGCCGTGTATAAAGATCAGAGCACCCGGCTGATCCTTGCCGCAGGCAGCAGCCTGCGATGCCGTGCGCCACTCGTCCTTCATGGCCGCGGCGAAGGTGCTGATGCGCGTCATCAGGACCGAGGTGCCCATGTAGTCCAGGCGCAGCTCCAGCGCCATAAAGCTGAGTCCCAGCGTATGATACGGTTCCATGCCCGCTTCCTCCTTGATGTGGAAGCGCTTATTGATCTTGTTCACCTCGAAGCTGCCGCCCACAATGCCGCCCTTGGCATCCAGCGCCGAGCCGCCCAAATAGATGCCCGCATACATGTTCTTGTACCCGGTGCTGCCTATGGACAGGCGCCCGTCCGAGCGGAAGTCCTTGGTCAGCCACACCACGTTGCCGCACACGTTGCCAATGTTCATCTGGACGTTGAGCTTGGTGAAGTTGACGGCAAAGATGACCAACGTCTCCCAGGCAGTTATCTGGTTCTTCTCCGAGGGCGGCGTGCCAGAGGACTCGGCGCTGGACGATTTACCCAGCGACTTCAGCTTGCGCACGGCCCCAAAGTGGCCCAGCTGCTGCTGCGACTGCTGACCCTCGAAGTCCAGGCGCAGCTTATCCTTGCTGCGACCCTCGCTGGGCGTGGGCGTTGGCGTCGCTGGCGTGGGCGTCTCAGCGCCCGCCTGTTGCTGCTGCTGCTGGTGCACGCTGAGATCGCCCAGGAAGAGACGCCGTACAATGCGCCGCCTATACCAGGCCTTGGGAAAGGCCAAGATCTCGGTGAGCCGCCGCATGTCGTACTTGAAGCTCGCGCTGCCAATGTCCACAATGGTGGAGAAGCGTATCACGGCACGGGACTGATCCAGCGCCCGCTTCGAGCTCGGCAGTGGCTCAATGTACACCTTGCGGCAGCGCGTGATGTGAAATTTAACAAACTCCACATTGATGCTGAGCGAGTCCTTGCGCTCGCTGTCGCTCAGTGGCGAGAACTGGGTCTCCTTGGAGGTCTTCTTGCCGCCATACGGATGGAAGATGTAGACATTGAAGTCCGCCAGGCAGCCGGTCACACTTAGCCCGCCCGTGGGCAGCTGTTGATCCGCATGGCTTTGACTTGAGTGCGGCGTCTGCTGCTGCTGCTGCTGCTGCTCCTGCTCCTCGCCGCTGCGCTTCGAGCTGAACACAATATCCAAGCTGGGCAGCTGCAGCATGCACTCGACTCGCGAGACGGGCAGACAGCTGAATCGAAACGTGGACGGCTGCATGTGGAAGTAGACGATGACGTCAACGGGGAACGAGGCATAGGTCGCATAATTCGCCGGCAAAATATCCAGATTAACGGCTGCGGTATGCGAGGGCGTGGCGGGCGCACTGTTCGCCTGTCGCGCTGGAATCGGCTCCAGCGTTTGCTCGAGGAACTCGAGTATGTGGGGCGAGATGATGGTCTCCTCCGGTATGCTCTGCAGCGTCATCCAGGCGCTCAGCGTGGCGCGTTTGTTGCCCAAGCGTCGCATATGCGGCACAGCCAAGGCGTTGGCTGGCGTCGCCGGCTGCTCCGTGGCGTCCACTAGCGTGCGGGACTGATAGTGCAGCTTGACGTCCAGGCCGGGTATGTGGAAGATGGTGAGATCGGCGAGCAGCGCATTATTATGCGTGCTGGCATTGAAGCGCAGCTTGCTCTTGTCCCGCTGGCGACGCGACGGCGTCGGGCTGCCCCAGTCGTTGCCAATGCTGCGCTCGCGCTTGTGCGACTTCACACTGGAGGCGGCTGCTCCGCCAGCCGCATAGGCGGCGCGCTCCTCGCCGCTGTTGTTCTCCTTGGTGTGGAGCACACACTTGCCCGAATTGACGAGCACCTTGACATCCAGCTCGAAGTCGATGTTCGGCTCCGGCTGCTGCTTCTGGGCATGGGCATGGGCATGCTTGCGTCGCATCTCCACCGAGGTGCCGTCGACGTCCATTTCGCTGGGCGTGCAGTCGCCATGGACGCCGCCGCGCCAGTCCAGCTCGTTGTCAGCCGTCTCCGTGTCGGTGTCGGCATTCGGCAGCGACGTCTGACGCATGGCATCTGTGAAGGTCACGCGACCCACGCCCGTCTTGAACGAGGCGCTGCGCGAGTGACAGGAGGCGGGCGTGCTTTGCAGGCTCGAGATTTCATCATTGGAGGCAATCGTGTCCAGCCGTCTGCCCGCATAGCTGTGGCTGCTGCCATTCTCCAGTGGCAGCTCCCTAGCTGGCGGCACGCCTGGCACGCCTCCAGTGCCTATGTACGAATGCGAGCGACCGTAGTTCTTCAGAGATCGCCGCAGCGAGGGCTTCCGCCACTTCTGTATCATGTCGCGACGGAAGTACTTGTAGCAAATGGCCTGCAGCTCCTGCAGGCGTCGCTCCTCGTGGGCAACCGTATTGTGCGAGGCGCCCAAGGTACGCAAATCGTTGATGATCTTCAGCTGCTCCGCCATCTCCTTTTCCATCATGAACGAGCGCTTCTTCGAGTCGATTGTGGGATCGAACACAAACGCGGGCAGATTATCGAATTCAGCCCGCCTGCGCACATACGTATCCCGACTGCTCTGATCGCCCTCATCGCTATCGGGTGATTCCATTTGCGTGTCGTCCTCCTCGAAGCCCGTGAGCATGGTGAGCGTGTGGCCCAGCGAGGACAGCTGCTTGCCAATGTTCACATCCAGGTGAATGTCCACGCCCTCCATTTGCCACTTCACATTCAGCAGCCACTTGGCGTTCTCGCCCTTCTTTGCGGCCGTCGTGCGGGAGCACACCTCGAAGGTGCCCTCAGAGACGACGCAGACATTCATAATGGGCTCCACGCTGCTCGGCTTCCAGTCATCCAGATTGGTCTCGAAGTCATCTGCAAAGCGCAAGCAGAGGCCCTGAAATTTGCCCTTGGAGACCAGGGAGCCCGAATTGCAGGCCGAGATGATGGTGTTCTCCAAGGTGATCACCACAGCGCCTTTGGCATCAAAGTCCTGGTACGAACGCGAGCCAAAGGACTGCGAAAATAGTTTAAATTGAATTATATTTGATTAGCTTCTATGCACTCAACACTCACCATTGCATTGACTTGCTTTAGGGGCAAGCAGATGCCCATGTCCTCCACAGTCAGTTGGAGGAATAATGTTGACAAATTGGAGCTGGCTATTTGGCCAAAGGCCACGCGATCGAAGACCTGCTGAGTGGTTTGGGCTGTGTGCTCGTAGCAGAGATTCGCACGCTTCTCGGCCCAATATTCGTAGGCATTCTTGTAGTTCAACCAGACCAATATGGCCTTGTCCACTGCTATCGGCTGTACGTAGACCAGGGGACGCTTCAGCGTCAGCAATATGAGCTCTTTATCCTCATTGAGCAGCTCATCCTGGAAGGCGTTACGCAGACCGATGGTCGTATGGAAAAAGGCATATTGCTGAAACTCTGGCTCCGCCTCATCAAAGATCACGTTCCTAATGATCTGGCCAAGTGACAAATTAAAGTCGATGTGCGCCTTGAAGAACATTTTACGATTGCTCATGTCACCCAAATTCTTGACACGATTCGAGAGCTGCAATTCCAAGGTGCCCGTCTCAAAGCGCACAGCTGAAGAGCACGGAGTGGTGGCTGTTAGTTGTATGCGCTTCATCGATATGTTGATGGAGAATAGTATGCGTTTTAGCGTCGACTCCTGGACGCTGGCATTATCGCCACTCTCCTCGGTCCACAGGGGCACTGGCTTCTCCCCGCCATAGACCTTTTGGAGCACCTCGTTGATCTCTCGCATGAACACCTTCTGCACGAAGACCAAGTGATTGAGCAGATCTGTGGTCAGGCACCGCTCGAACTCGCCAATCTCAGCGCTGGCATTCACATAGCCGCCCTGCCGCAAGACGATGCCCTCAATGCTCTCCGTATGCTCCTGCCGATTGTCCGGTATATATTCAGCCACAACATGCACGGGTGGCAGGCCAATGCACGCCTCCGAGGGCAGATTCATTTCGTTCTGAAAGACGAAGGTGTTTCAGTTTATTTTTGACATTCATTCTATGGACAACTCACCTGTATCTTGGTGTTAAAGCTCAGCGTGTGCGTGGGCAAATCGATGACAAACTTTGCCCGCTGACCCGTAACGCCCATCGAGCTGACGTGATTCATGCGATACTGCGCCTGCAGCGAGGGCAGCAGCGCCGCATTTATGGACAGACTTTGCAGCAGCACATTGAACTGCATGACCAGCGGCTGCAGCAGACCATTCGATGCCGTCGCCGGCTTGGATTGGGCCAGGCGTGCAGCGCGTCTCGCTGCAAATTGTTGCTGCTGCTGGGCACCGCCCGAGATAGTTCTCTGACGCATTTCGCTGGCCGTGCCCACGCCGCTGGCCGCGCCGCCCGAATTGCGCGCATGGAAGGGCGAATCTGGCTCCTCGGCCGTATGGGACCGCAGCGTAGATCTACCCGAGTTGCGTTTCACGCGCAGCTCCTGCAGCGTGGACGACAGCTGCTTCGAGCTGCGCGTCATCATGCCGTGCAGAGCCACTGGATGCTGCGGTATGTCTATGTTCACGGGTCCAATCGAGAGCAGGCCGCTGTTCTTGTCCTTGCCACGCTTCGAGAGGCTCGAGTAGAGCGTCTGGCTCTTGCCCACTGTGACCTTGACAACGGTTCTGCAAAGAACATTCATTACGTTTAAGCTGGCTCAGTGAACGTGATCTTTGAGTACTTACTGCTGGCTGGGCGCCACGCCCTCGAGTAGCACGATCATAGCCCGACCCACCTGTCCAGTGAGCGAGCACTCCAATGAGACAGGTCTGGCCTTCTTTCGCCACGTAGCCGTGCTATTCAATGTGGTGATCTCCGACTCCAGCTTAAGGCCGGACAGCGTGGCCAACAATCGCGTCTTGTGTATCTTGGCCACGCCGAAGACAATGAGGCGCGTGCGCTCCGGCGGCACCCCATCCACCAGCAGCATCTCGCGATGTTGTGGCAGCGGAGTTGGGGCGTTCGTCAAATCGTCGTCATCATTATTACCGAAGCTGGGCGGCGCCTTCTTATGCTCGTTCAGCGAACTCCGTTGCGCCACTGTCTTCGTCTCCGGCATGGTGCCATACAGCTCGAGCAGATGATAGATTGTCTTCCAGCAGTTGGGCGTCTCCAGCAGCGGCGCTGATTTGGTGAGCGTGTTATTGTAATCCCCGCTGACGCTCGTCGCACAGCCACCATTCAGCGAAGCCTTCGACTCCGTGGTTAGCTTCATGATGTGCTGCTCGTGGAACGACATTGTGGGGCTGTCCCTCAGGGGCGAAGAGCTGGACTCATTTAGATTCGTGTAGCCCAGTTTGCCCTTGACGGATTTGCCCGTGGAGCGCAGCTTTTGCGCGAAGCTCTGCGGCCGATTCTTGGCGTTGGGCGAAGGAGTTAGCTGTATAATGGGACGACTACGACCAGCTGGCATTGTGGGCATGGTCTCGTTAAACTTGTCATAGCGCTCATCCGAAAAGCTCTCGCCATGGCCAGCAAAACGATCCGAAAAGGGCAGCAAGTCCGTTGGCTCGGAGGCTATCGAAAGGAATTCAGATTAGTAAAGGAACTTGGATATGGTTTCACTAATCTCTTACCCAGACTGCACTCATCTTTGGTGTGGCTCTTCTTGCTCAGATCGGGATGCTCGTGGAACTCGTTCTGGGCATCCTTCACATTCTGGTACATGTTGCATATCTGATGCAGCAGTCGCAGCAGCGGCATATTCACCTGCTGCGAAATGAAGCGCACATTGAGACTGAAGTTGATGACGGTGCTCGTGTGCTTCTTGAGCTGTCGCCTGGACATGTAGATGACATTCTGGCGCGCCTGATCCACCATGCCGTCGGACATTTTCAACACCTCCAGCTCGACGCCCACACGCTCACACAAGAAGAGCGGCGTATCCATCATGATAGAGGCACGTCCCCCATTCGATTTCTTACTCAACTTGGCCGGCTTAGTATTCGTATTGTTCTTCTTATCGCCAGCCTCGCTGACCACAATGTCGACGCGTATCGAATCGAAGGTGCCAATGAGTGAGAGATTAGTGCCAAAGTTTTCCAGCGAAGAGATGTCGGCGTTTGAGAACTTGTTGATCATTTGCTGCGGCATTACGCCCAAGCACGTGAGCAGCGGCTCGAAGATTAAATGCGCATCCAGCAGCTTGATGGAGTCCTGCATGATGGTACTTCTCGCCTGTGGCTGACCTTGGAACTTGGGTGGAGCTGGACGAGCATGCTCCTTCTCAGCTGAATTCTCTTTCTTTTTGTTGTTGTCCTGCTGCTTGGCCATCCAGAAGTACAAATCTTCCTTGTGATTCTCAGCGCCCAGCCAGAATTTATTCACCGAGTTGGTAGAGCTCAGCGAGCCCTCCTGCAAGGCGCCATATTCTGCAACGATTACAAATATTATATATATGTATATGACTCTTTTCCACTTTTAGCCATGCTAAGACTTACCAAACTCTGGCACTTGCTTCTCCACTAAGCCCGATATAATGGGCAGCATTTGTATGCTAGAACGAGACGAATTGCCATGTGAATAATTCGAGGCTTTGCTGTGCACTTTGCCCAGACTTTTTATGTATAACAATACGAATATCATATATATGCAAATATATTCACATTTATGCGATGGTTAAGTTGAGTTGGGTATGAAAAGAAGAACACATACACAGGCAAAGGCATTAATAGACGAAACATGCATAAGCATATATGACATGGTATACATTGAAGTGCATCAGACGCAAAAACTTACCCACGACGCGTGTGATGTATATTGGGCGATGTGGAAGTCGATCTCTGCGATGCGGGTCCATGATGCGCCTCCTGGGCATAGGACATGCCTCCGTACTGTGAATTGTCTGTATGTGGAATGGTAAGAATCTTGAGTAAACGCTTTTATAACAAGTGTAAATCAATATTTTAATTTTGTACTTAGGTGGCGTTAGAGACCAAAAGGGAATTTAGTCAAGTGCAGTGTGCAAAATAAGTCAATAGCATATTATAAATAAATATAGAATAAATCAATTTTACATCGAGCACACTGCACTAGAGAGTATAAGCCTAAAATTGAATTAGACTTAACTTAGCCAAAAGGGAAAACATTTAATAATTGAATACATAATGCACACGCAGGACATCAAACAATATGAAGTCATGAACACATAAAGCTGATTGAAGACATACAATACAGGGAGTTGAAGTATAGAAGAATAGAGAGTATCGAAAGTAGAAAAGGGAATATAGAAGAAAGTCAAGTAAGGAAGATAGGAACAGAACATTTATATAGAGCCAAGCACAATAAATGCCTCTTGAGTGCTCATGGCTTATATATTAATTAATTACTTAATACGTGCATAAAAAACAACACACAAAAAAATAATCGCCTACAGCTAATAAATCTATATATATATATAAAAAATATTAGTTATAACAAAGGAAGTTGGCTGCGGTTTAGGCAGCTGACCAGCGTTAATCAAAGGAATACCAATGTGAGTTCGATGATGCTGTGTTTGCCCAAGTAATAAAGCATTCTCACTCTCTTCCGGATGCTCGCCGACGCCCGCATAGGCGCCCATTTCAACATCACCTTCACACTCATCCGCCTCGCACTCCTCCTCGTTTTGCGGAAACGAAAATGTCACATTGATCGGTCGGGCCAATTTATTCTTGTACTGATGCTCGAACAAAATGGGATTGTACAAGGTGTTCTTCCACTGACGGCTCAGCACAATGATACCCTGTGGAAATGGGACGGGCAATTAGAGATATATAAATCTATAGGTAGATCAATTGCTCACCTGCCGAAGCGTATTCAAATGGGGCACTTCGCCACGCTTGAATATCTGCTCAATGCGCTGCACTCCCTCATCCAGGACTAACTTTTGCATGATGTAGCAAAGCTGGCAGCTGGGATCCTCCTGCAAGGTCTTCGACAAGAGCGTATAGTTGTTCGCATAGCGACTCTGATCAAGGGAGAAGTTGCATTAGTATATATTTACCATTGTATACTCCATTTACCCACCTTCTTTATCTTTGGGTTTCGCTGAATTTTCTCATTCTCCATGGCATCTGCCATGAGGCAGGCGGCAACTGCCGTCTGTCTCGTATGCAGCACCTTCATCAGGGACACGATTTTCATGGCTAGACGGTTGCTGGGATTCATCCATGCCGTTATGGCCGGCGAGGCAGTGCTCAGCAGATTCCAATCCAAGCGCGTCAAATCGATTTTTCGTGTGATTGGCACACAAGGAGGCGCCGCAAAGTTAAACCACACGGACTTTAGCTCTATCACACAGGACGAAGTCTTGTCGGTGCCTTTAAGATTCGAGAGCGCCTTGTCGTAGCCATCCTTTACTGCATTCCCAGCATTTCCGCTTGGCTTTTGAGTGCCTTGCGGCTGTGCGCTGCCCGCTCCTCCCTTCTCCACATCCTCATCGGCTGCCTGTTTGGGCGTCGCTTTGCGTGCCTGCTCTGCACCGGTTTCACTGGCAGTAGTAGCATCCAAAGCATGCGGGAATTTCTCCTTGGGTGTTTTGGGTGTCGGCGGCTTTTTGGTTATTAAACGCCAAGCTGCCTCGGCTTTTGAGGTAGCGCCACTTGCATCTGCTGAGGCAGGTGCAGCTTCAGCACTGGATCCCACAACCAGTTCTGTTAGATTGAAGCCACCTCCTGCCGAGGCAACGCCCTCTGCAGCGCCAGCCATCTCAGCTAGCTCCTCCTTGCTGTTCTCCGACTTCTCGAAATGCGAACGCTTTACAATCTTCACGCCCACTCCTTCCAAGCCACACTCGAACATGATGTAGCCAATGCTCTCAATGCCTGTGCTCTCGGGCATCTTCAGGCACTCGAAGAGCACCTTGCTCTTGTGCTCCGGTATGGCCGTCACAATGATGGGCGTCTCTGGGGCACACGACTGTCCCTCGGTCTTCAGCCGACGCAGCTGCGCGTGCGCTCGCCCAATATCGAGTGTAATAACCAGCTCCTCCAGCTGCTTCTCCGACGTCTCAATCAGTATCGGCTCGCCTTGCACATTGTCAGGTCTCGTTTGAGACGAGAGATGTGCGAGCAACGCTCGGGTGCCCTTCATAATGCCGCCTTTCTTATGGCTGCTGCCCGACTGCACAGCCTGCTGTATATAGACATTGTGCATGGAGGCTCGTGTGGTTTTACCCAAATGAAATTTGGTCGAGATGCCCTCCATATAGAACGTAAGCAGTGAGACGCAACTGAGATCCTGTGCACAGAAAATTCATTAGAATCATTTCAATTGTTATTCCAGATGCCTTTCTCACTCACCTGCACATTGTCGAGCGCTGCCACTGAGATAATCTCCTCCACAATAGACGACTGGAGCATTGTGATGCTCACCTTAGGCAGGACAATCAATCCCTGAGTCTTTGTCGAGATGCTCTCCTCATAGACGTCGCTCAGGAATGAGTCGCCCGGACCCTGTAAGTGTCGTTCGGTTGTCGAACGCTTGGAATTCGAATGTACCTGCGACCAGTAGCTCAGACTCTGATCTCGCTTTAGTATATTGTCGTTCTTCACTTTGGCTATGCACGAGGCATGAATGAAGTTTACAACAGAAAGCAGATGCATTGACTGAATTGTCGGTACGGCAGCCTCAACCATTCTGCAAGAGAATAAAAAGGGAAATTGTATATGATGAGTATATTATTAAATTATTATCTCTTTAAGCTGGCGAAAAACGAAAGGAGGCAGCTAAAATTCCATGTAAATGCCGAAATTCAAAAGAGAGCAAAATAAAAGACCAATATATTCTGAACTATAAAGTCCAGCAGTAAGATAAACTCAGTTTCTCATTTGTAACAAATTCCCATGGGCAAAAAACATAATCCAAAACGGGCCGCCATTGCTTTATCTGTAATCAGTTAACAAGTCAGAGCATAAACATTCTACTTCGATCAGCATAAGATAAATATATACTACTACAAATTTAAGTGCGATAAGTTTATAGAAATGATACTACTGCGCATTGGTCTGTTTTGTGCCCTGCTGACCTCTATGGCAGCATATCCGCTGGTAGGTTGAGTAAAACCCCTCTCTAACTTCTTGGTAATGCAATTTAATGCAAACAGGAAGCTCAAGTGAAGCCCGAACGAAATGCTAAAGTGGAACCGGCTGATTATCCCGATCTAACAGATGGTCTCACTGATGCTGAGGTGGAGTCCACACTCAATGGCCTATCCCTAGACGATTTGAATGAGTTGAATAAACTGCTGGATGATGCAGGCGATGGACCATTTGACTTGCAGGGTATTTCGTCGTATGCTAAGCCAGCGAACCCTTCCATAATTCATTCCTTTCAAAGCAAGCAAGCCTTAGGGGACACCATAAACAAGCCAAGAAGCAACATTACGCCGATGTGGACAGTGTGGACGAGGACTTGGAAAGTGCCTTGAAGCCGGACAAGCTGTCGCTAGACGATGGCTGTCACGACGACGACGATGACAAGGACAAGGACGAGTGCACCGAACGACCCAAATGTACCGAGCGACCCAAGTGCAGTAAGCGACCCACCACACGGCGCTGCACCACTCGCAAGTGTACCACCTTATGCAAGTCCCTGGATGGCTTTCTCGATATACATTTGGATGAAGCCAGGTCGGACAGCAGCGGTGCCAAATTGAAATGCAAAACTGTTGAGGAATGCGATCCGGAGGATATGATGTGCCTGCAGCGCCTGCAGCACAGGTCGAAGCAGAGGCCAAGCATGAATGACTTTGCCGATGTGGGCGTGGATCACATGCCCGGCGAAATGGGCAGCCTGGAGCGATTGGCAGCTCAGGCACATCGCGATGACGTGCTCAAGTTTAGCAAGCAGCTGGAGGACTGGAATGGCAAGGAAGACATCTTGCCGGGCATGTCGAATATGGACTATGACAAGGTGGCCACTGCGGACACATTCAAGGATCTGCCGAAATTGGGTAGTGCCTGGGATCAAGCGAAGGTGACCGAGGACGAGGATGCACAATTAAACCAAAACGACGACCAGCTCAATGCGCCGTACGAGCGACATGAGCTGGCAAGGACAGCGCACGGACGCAGGCAGGAGCTACAGCAGCCGCAACAGGAGGAGAAGTCCGAGGACGATGAGAAGCAGACCGAGGAACTGGACGAGAATGCGCCACTGAATGAGCCAGGCGAACTGGCAGCCAATGAAGGCGACAGGTTGGAGGATTCACTTCACTCAACTCCCACTCAATCGTATATAAAAAATCCCCACAGCTTCATAGCTCAAAATGCCCGTGATCCATTGCGCTATCTCATTCAAACAGAGGAGGGCTACATCAAAAGCGAGGAGGAGCCCATCGAGCATCAGCTGCGAACGGACAAGGAGCACAGCGAAATGCTCAACTACGACCCCTATCAGCTAAGCAACGAGCACAGTCCGCTACAGAGTCAGCTGGAGCAGTCGAAACGCATCAAGCGGGAGAACAATGGGAAAGCATTCGACGACGACTCGAACGAGGTAAGTGCGAAATGACATCCTAAATAGACAATTAAAGACTCCATCCAGAACAACAACGAAAGCTATCTCAAGAAGCTGATGGACTCGTTTCCCCGTGATCAGAACAGCCAGAGCAATCTCAATGTGGCCATCAGGCTGGCAAAACGAACGCATTTGCGTGTTAAACGAAGTTAAGTTTTCATAATTATTCCGTTTGTTCAATTGATCGATGTGAGTGAATATATATATTTTTATAATGTGCGAATAAACAAGTTGGGTCTGGATTCATGGTGTATTCAGCTCGCCAACAAAAATGTATATTCAATTCAATATTCAAATAAATATTCAACTCACCTTTGTAGTCCCTCTAGCAGGAGGGGCGTAAGGAATATATTGAGCTGCCCCTTCAATCTAGCCACAACCGAGGTGCAGGCCGCACCGCCTTCCGATTGAAGGCTCATGAATTCGCCATCATCGAAGCCATTTGTGGTCTTGTCCGATTCCTCCTCCTTCAGCAGGACACTGGGATCCCAGGGATGGGATTTCGGACCACCCATAAATGTGGCCGAGCTGTTGCTGCCGGTGGAGTTCTCATAGCGTGGCACCACCTTAATTTCACGCCAGCACGAGTACAGATCGAAATGCGGCAACATTTTGCTGCCAATGTAGGTGAGGCCGCCGTCTTCGTTCTCGTGGAAGAGCGGCGTGGAGAAGACATCCGGTCCGAGCGGAAATGAGCAGCCGTTCCAATTGAAGCACTTCACCTGCGACAAGTGATTCAAATAGCTGGCCATCAGCAGTGGCGAATCGATGATGGGTCGATTGACCTGCTGATGCAGATTGACCAGCGCCACATCCTCCTGCGACGACATGGCCGATATGAACGAGTTCGATGAGAGCGAGGGCGTGCCCGACGACGAGCCGCGCGAGTCAGCCTGGGAAATGCAAAGCAAACCAAATATTGCATCAGAGTGATATCATAAGGCATCATGATCCATGGCAAACGGCTACAAATCAAATGGAAAAGGTGGGCAGAACAAGTGGCGCAAAAGGTGCAATGGGTGCGACTGTGTCTGTGTGTGTCAATCAAAGACTTCATACTTAGAACTAAACTAGAAATCATTTAAACTTAGACTAGCTCCAAGTAGCATGCGAAATTTGTAGAAGACATGCAGGCAACATATTAGAAAAACCCCTGCAGAGAGTTGAAACTGAGGGAAAACATTTATAAGAGAAATAAAAACAAAAATATAAATTTAATAATCAAAATAATCTTAAAATTGGATAGAATATAAAAATAATATATTTTTAATTTAAAACCCCCTAAAATAATTTTTATAACTATCCCTCCGTCTGAGCACTATTCTAGTTTCATATAACTTAAATAAATAAAATTAATATTCAACTTATTTTACTTTTGAACCATCCTCGGAATGAATTAAAATATAATTTTTTGCAAGAGTATGCGGCAGTGGTCTAAACAATTTATTATATTGCAAAATTTTTTAAAAATGTTTAAATAATAATATTTAAATAATATTAAATAAATATGGCTTTAAATTAATTAAATCCTTACTTAATTGCTTAGACCACCCTCGCAAATCTTCGGCAAACCGAATATAATATCCTTTTTCAAATACAATTTCCCTTTAAAATTTTGTTTTAATAATAATAAAACTATACTAAAGAATTTGTTAAACATTAAGATAGAAAGAAATATTTGGAATTTAGTTGCGCTACACATGTTAGTCAAAGATTAAGGATTTGGTTTTAAATTTGATAATTGATCTTTACTGTACTTTGGTTTTGGCTCTTGCTAAGAACTACTCACATCGTGAACAAAATGTCGATACTCGGGTCGTGATGAGATATTTGTTAATTTTCTTATAGGTGTGGCAAGACCATGAATGCGTCTCGCGTCTTCGTTCTGGATGAGTTTTTACGTATTTATCAAGTTTTTTATAACGTTTAGTTTTTTTTTATGAATCGAAAGTTTTGAGTTTGGTGGAAAGGAATAGAATTTAGGTGTGGATTTGGTTTAACAATAGAGTTATAGAGAAATATATAGCTTAAAGTTAAGAAGAGAGGCATGCATCATATAGGTAAATATATATATAAGTTTTTTATAAGTTTTTTCCAAATACTTTAGAACTGGGCTGCTTTATATATGCTATAAATTTGTAGTTGGTGAAAGTGGAATATAAACTAGACCTTGAAAGCAGTAAAGCTGCAAAGTGTACATAGTATCGTATATGGAATTGTATACGTAGACTTAATATATATAATAATTATACATAGCGAACTGTTTGCAGCAGTTGCTCGATTTTTTTTACCAGTTCTGTTGTGCTCTGTGGTCGCTTGGGCAGCGATTTGTTGCTCTCCGATGGATGAATTTCCAGATCGCTGCGATAGGTCGGCAGAGTGTGGCTGCCGTTCTCATTCTGAGCGCCAATGCTGTAACATATTGGAATTAGCTTGTTTTATATGGAATAATTTCAGTAGTGCCTACCTGAAGTCAGAGGAGAAACGTTTTCTGCCCGACAAAATGATGGAGCCAGTGCCACTGCGCTGCTTCATCGAGCCACGCTGAGACATAACATTCGATATGTCTTCCTCGGCGGAGAAGAACATCTCTGAGGGATTCTCGGAGGTTAGCGATATGGTGCGCTGCACTTCACGTGGCAACTGATCTCCGCCATGCAGCACAATGTCCGCGATCTCAAATTCCAACGGATGCGAGTGAGGCGCCGAGTGGGACATCTCATCGGGAATCTGGGGATGAGGGAATAAATGTAAATTGTATCAAGGAGCTCTTTCCCTTACTAGGATATCTACATACCTCCTGCTCGTCATCCAGAGCCGCTTCGCCGGTCAGTCTTGAGTCGGAGATGCTTGTCTTGGGCGGCGATACGCGCAGTCGGTGCGAATCGGAGCCGCGTCTTGGCTGCTGGCAGCTTGTGTTGATTATCTCCCGCTCGATGGACTCGTGCTGCAGCTGCAGCTTCTTGGACGGGCTGTCCAGCAGGCGAGCGTATGGCACCTCCACAGAGGTCTGCCTCGTGCAAGTATAACGCTTGCTGCGTCGCTCCAGCGTATTCGGTGAGCCAATGCTCTCGCGACTCTTATGTCGATTGCTGTTGAGCTCTGGCTTCTCCACAGAGCCGGCGCCAATTTTGAATTTAGTGCCATCGGGCAGAGAGCCAAGCTCCGACTTCTTCAAGCTGCCATTGCGCAGCTCACTCGCCGGCCTATACAGCTTGCCCTTGCCATTGAAGTCGGCCGCGTCATAGAGCGATACGCAGTGGAGACTATAGGGCGGCGTGTGGAAGACGAGCTGGCCCTGATGCAAAATGCTCTCGCCAAAGCCAAAATCTTTGCCATTGTTGATGATGCTGAATGGGAAGGATGGAGAGATGGAAATGACCATAAGGTAGTCAAATTTGAGAGTATGATACTTACAAATAGCGCGCTATATTGTAATTGTCATGCACATCTTGAGCCGTGGGCTTGAAGAACTTTTGGCCGTTGCGGTTGCTGCCGAAGAAGGCGCAGCCGCCAATGCAGCCACAGCGCGAGGTCTCCGACCCAGAGCTGAGAGCACTGCCATTGTTTGCCCAGAGGAACCACAGCCGCTTAAACTTGGCGTCGTGCTCACGCAGAAAGCTGAAAGATGGAAATAGTTGAGAAATTTACATATTCATAAAGAAGCTCAAGCTGATTTCGCTCACTTGTGCTGCACGAGATGCAGTTCGTGATCGGGTATGGGCAGCGCGGAGGCGCCTTCGAGCAGTATGGGACCCAGCGAGGTGCAGCCCACCTCCACCCAGTTCTCGCAGAGCTCCGACGTTAGCGGCGTGCGCTTGGTCGCATGTGCATCCACGCTCTCGCGCAGTTTGCTGCGCGCCGAGTCTTCGCGCGAATCGCGACGTTGCGAGAACGAGTTGGAGCTGCGCTTGCTGGTGGGCTTGTGCGTGCCATAGACATCCTGCGACTTGAGCGAGTCCTGATCAGCGCGTCGCAGCTTGCCCGACCGATTGCTGCCCGTGGTATTCGTATTGTAGCTGCTATTGGGCGCATTCCCCGCGTGCAGCATGAACAGACGCAGCAGAATAGAGGGCAGCAGACCCGAGATGCCGGACTTGACGCGCTGGCCATGCAAATTGCAGTTGGCCAGTCGTATGGGCGAGATCCACGCATGCAAGGCCGTGCCGCTCTCGATGAGATAAACGTCCACGGCGTCAACCGAGACGCGCGTCATCTTGTACTTAATGTCCTCCGAGGATGGGCATTTGTACTTGTTCTCCTCCTTGGTGTGCGGGCACAGATTGCTGGGCACACCGTGATGGCAATTGCGCACGGTTTTCGGCGACTTCAGACAGTTCTCGGGATCGATGGCGAGCAGCACCAGCGTCTCCAGGCCAGTGACGACATTCACCAGCTGCGGCAGGGTCAGCTTGCCCGTCAGCTTGCCCAGCTGCACTTCCACCAGCCACGAATACTCCAGCGTATCCTCGTCCAAGGCACAGCCCTCATTGCTGAACATCGCATGGCCTCGCACCTGGACAGCTGAGAGCAGCAGGTGGCCCTGCTGAATGTGCTGCTCGCGCTGCTGTCGCTGCAGCGTGTCGGCCGTGAGCAGATACGAGGGGCTAACCAAAACTTGCAGCGTTGTCTCATGATAGCGTTTGTCCATCTCGAAGCCGAAACGTTCGATCAGCACCACCGGGCAGGGCGGATCATCCGGATTGCAGTTCTTCATCACGTGCGCCTGAATGTCGTGCACTATGACCGAGACCATGACCTCCAGCGGGCGATAGAGCCGTGGATCGAAGGGTTTGCGCTTCTCCTCGGGTGGCGCTGTCTCTGATATGGACTTGTTGGCCAGCTCCTTTTCCTTGGCCAGCAGTTGATCTTTCGGATTCGGAGCAACACCTGGCTCCTTGTTCACATTCGATTGCTCCATGTCCGTGAAGTTCTGATCCTCGCCAAATATGTTCTCCTTCAGGCTGATGAAATTTCTCAGCACATTGCCATAGGCCATCAGCACCGAGCTGCCAATCTCCAGCTCCACCGTGACCTGATCCGCCGTCAGTGTGCCCGGATCGAACTTATTCTGCTGCTGCTCGGCTGCTTGCTGCGCCTGCTGCCAACTGTTGCTCACTGGAGATTTTCGTACTTTCGGTATCCGCATCGGACTGAGCAGAATCTCCTCCTTTTCGGGCGTGGTGATGTCCGCCTGGGGATCAGGCCCCAGCGGCGGCACCGGATGATACACATACTGGATGGACAGCGCCAATATGGGCACCGCCCAGCAGTCGATCCAGCCGGCGCTGCGCTGGCAAATCTTACGCCATTTCTTCGTATAGAGCTCGGGGCGCCTGATCAGCTTGCCCTCGCGTGTTAACAGTCTTGCATTCTCATCTATGGCTAGGACAATGGGTCGCACCGAAGACACCTCCGGCACATACAAACTCAAGTCGAGACCTTCGCCGTGTATCCAGAACTTGAGCGTGACAGTCTTGGGTAGGAAATCGTCGAAGGGCAGCGCAAAGCTCATCTCAAAGACGTCGCCACAGAAGGCCAGATGATTGTTCTCCTGGTTCGCACTGCTGCAATCGATCCAGTTGTATTCGTTGCACAGCATCAGGATCTCGAATTCGTTCAGGCGTATATTGAAATTGCACGTGTAGGGCACAAAGCTGAGTATGTCGGGTCTCGCTTTGTTCGCCCAGTCCTCGATGAGATCCTGGAAGAAGCATTTGTGTTTATACACAATAAATGCCGTTGTCTTGCAGCCAGCCAGCGAGATGTTCCAGTCCTGCGGCGCATTCCATTTTCTTGGATAATGGATGCGCACTTTGTACTCCAGCGACTCGAACTCTGCCAGGCTGCGATATTGCAGCGAGGTGGTGGCCTCCACATGGAACAGCTGGCCTTGAATCTTGGACGTATAGCCATCGGCTAGGGTCACCCAGGGTATGGTCACCTCCACGTAGGAGGCGGGCCCCACGGTTATGTGCATGGCATTCGTCTCCTTCTCCTTGGAGAAGAGTATGTCGATCGTGGCTTCGTTCAGCACACAGAGCGTCACATCGAACGACTGATAGGTGCGCAGTTCCCCTGGCTGCGGAGTAGGTGTCACCTCCGCCTCCTTCCAATCGGATGGATAGAAGTATTTGTAGAGGTGATCGCGCTGTCTGTCTGCCCAGGGGCCGTAGCTGAAGTCCGTGCCCTTTAGGCAATGCGCATTGATGCCCCAGACGGGCGGCGATGGCTCCGACTCATCACCGTTGGCCAAGAGAATCTGGACCGGCTCCTCTGGCACGACGCCGGGCTCATCCATATAGAAGTACAAGTCCATCTGATTGGACATCATGACCACAAATCCCTCGCCCATATAGCGCGGTGGCTCGTCTATCAGGCCCGTATATTTCGGACTGGGACAGAATAAGATCTTGGCATTCTCCACCTTCGCCTTGACAAAGTGCATAAAGTGATCGAGCGGGCAAACCGCGGGCTTGGTGCTGTACGTGCAGTGCGCCTCCTCCATGGATATGGACAGCGTAGTCGGTGTTAAGCGATTGCCGAAGACGAAGCGACCCGAGCTGATGTCGATCTTGATTACAGGTATCAAATCTCGCCAGGTGGTGGCCTGCATGGCCTCCGAGTTCTTAACGCTATTCACGCGCTTGCTCTGCTTGGCGTTCTCCAGATTCATGTGATGCTCCTTGAGCTTATTGCGCTCCTCAGTGCTCACCGTATCCGTGGGTATCAGCAGCGAAGGCTCTAAGCCGAACGTCTTCTCCAACTTATCGTACAGATCGGAGCGATTGTAGATGTGCAGTTCGTACACATTCAGCTGCACAGACAAACGCGTATCCGAATGGGAGAGATCTGCAAGGGATCAAGACTTTAGTTTGATTTCGTTAGGATTGGACTTCAGGACTTACCCTCGGAGACATCTTTGGGCACATAGGAACGCCACCAGCGGAATATGAAGTAGCCATCCTGCACGCGCATCGTATAGTCATACGTGATGTAGACAAAGTCTCTGAACATGATCTTGCCAGCCAGCGGATTTATCGCCACCGATCCAATCTTGAAGTAGGCGCCCTTTATGAACCAGCGATTCGCGATCTTTGTGATCAGCATGCCGATGACACGAGAGTTGTAAAAGTTGTTGTAGGTCACCCACATGATGGTCGTCAGCAGCGAGCAGATCAGCCATATCTATAACAGGTAGCAAAGGTGAAGCATAATTGGGTATTATATCATTTTTGCCAAGGGGTTAGAGAATGAGTTGAGCAAAGGGCAAATCTTAAATGGGAAATATTGTATTTGAAGAAAAATGAATACCCTATCTAAGTATAGAAATGTCGTCAGCGGATATTTTTTATATTTATATTTTTGAAATAGACTCACTAAGAGATACCCTATATGAAGATCTACTCTACCTAAACATAAAAGTTCGATTATATCGACTCAGGAGTACCCTATTTAAGTATACGAATTTGGTCACTAAGTAACTGGAGAGTCACAAAATTCGTATATCTTAATAGGGTATATCTGAATAAATTCGAATATAATGTAAGTAGACAGAAGTTAGAGTAAAAATATAAAAATTTAGTGATGTAGAGGCACTAAGCATAGAGACTAAATATCAATATTCGTTAAAGTAGAGTTGATATTTCAACTCTACCTATATAGGGGAAACATACAAAACATATTTTTACTTTAAAAATGTTTTCGTTTTCTCTGAATCCCATATATAATATATAATACATACATTATATACAATACATATATAATATTTGAATGAATACCCATGTGTATTTACGTTGTTTTCTTTCTCTTCTATTACTCACAGCGTTTATGGTTCTGGTGAATTATTCAGTTAGTCACAGCCTTTTAATGTAATTTACGTTGATAATGAAACACGCCTCGAGCTGGATTTAACTTAAAATCGAAGTCAAATTGAGTGAAGCCTAATACTACTAGAATCTAAGACTATTTAAATGAATCGCAGGTAATCTGTTTAATAAGTATCCCGATAATTTGGCTTGATCTATATATACCCATTATCAAGATTAAAATTAATAATATGAAATTGATAGCAAATTTGAAAACCAAAACACTTAGTCACGCTTGGTCTGGGATCTATACTTCCTACGAATCAGTGAATCGTTCAATAATTGCCATCAATTTACCAAAATTTAAATAGACCGAATATGAATTTAATAATTAGCTTATTGATGATTGAACTTCTAACGATAATAAATATATATTATCATTAGCAAATGCTTTTGTTAATTGGGTAACTATTTGAAATGACGAATATCTTACTTAAATGATATCTTACTTAAACGTATTTGGAATATGTACGAGGTATGTACAAAAAGTTTCGCGAACTTTGCTAATGCTTTTGAAGGTCCATTCAACATTTTCAATTATGCCTCTTTAAAAGTAAACCCCATTAGATATCTTGCATGTGGGCTAACGTTTCCTCCTATTCAAAATGCAGAAGAGTCTGCCTTCAGTCTCGCTCATTATTCACACTTTCATATACGAATAGCATCCCCCACCAAATACTTAAAAGACAGACAGATTTATAAACATATACATGATCGATTTAATAAACTTATATTTCTAATTTGATGTGCACAAACTCTAAAGAAGCTTCAATGTAGACAATTAACCAAGACATGTACAAAATTTGCTCGTGGAAGTGTGGTATAAAAATGTAAATCGTCTCTATGTGTGTCAGATGGGTTGGTGATTTGTGATCGTTGGCTGTGGCTGGTTTGGGGCTGCGGGTTTTCAGTCAAAGTAGTTGACAGGCACATCGCTGAAGATGGCGCCGGCAAAGGTGCATTTCTTGGCCTCCTTGATGACGGTGCAGCCGTGGATGTCCTTGAAGAATATGTTGTGGCCCAAACAGCGCGGCTGATTCACAGAACTAATGGGGCGTCGTGTCGCTGGCCGGAAGTAGGCACGACCCGTAAATGGATTCACAAAGTCCGACCAATAGCCATCCTGCATAAACTCCACGGAATACTGCGAGGCAATCAGTACGAATGCCTTGATGGCGCTATTCACATCGCTGTCAAAGTACAAATTGAAGATGCTGAAATTGCCGGGATCCTTGAATTTGGAACACGGAATGGTAAACAGTCGCTTCATGTGGCTCAATAGCAGCTTGGGACAGCGCACCACCTGCGCTCGGATCGGCTTGATGCCGTTCCAGCCGATCGAATTGTGATATTTACTCACATCAAATTGATCGGCGGTGGTGAATAGATCCTGATAGGCCGGTCCCACGCTGTGCGGCATATAGAAGAGATCCGAGTAACGATTGCCCAGTATTGGATAGACCGGATGGATGCCAATATCATCATCGGTCTCCATATCATCCTGCTCCTCCATATCAACCAATATAAAGTTTGGCAGGCTGCTGCTGCTCGTGAATCGGCGAGCGGGCTTCACGCACTTCTGATTCTGTAGAATCTTTCGGTCCTTCAAGCATCGCACTAATATTCTTAATGTTTGCATTCTGTGCTATTGACTATAATTATTATTATTATAACGATTATAATCCGTCTATTGGTCAAATTCGTTCGATTGGGCGGCAATATACAGTTTAACTAAAATTTTTAACTATCAGATGCTAAAATAAGTTGTGTTCTCGAAAAAGTTTTGTTTGTTTGCTTGTCTGTTTATTAAAATTTGTTCGGTCTTATTATTTTTTGTCAATATTCTTAGCAAAAGCGGCGTCCGTAGACCGCGAAACAGATTTTTGTTGGGTTCTGTCCGTATTAAAATAATTTTGAACGTTTGTTCATATATGTAAAAAAAAAGAAAGGCTGCCCGATTAAAATGTGAACTTAAGGTTCCATCTCCTGGTCGTTGTCAAGAAAAAACCGAATTGCTTTGTTTTCAAAATCAAACTACAATTTATGACAGATGTGAAATAATTCTCTTTCAAATATAATGTATAGAGTATGTAATCGAATTTTTAAATTTCTAGTAGCAATGGAAAAGTGCAAAGATCGTCGTACATAAGAAACTCGCCCTAAATAAACTTTATCTATGCTGACTAGTGTAACAGAGAGGGAGTGTATATGTGTGTGTGTGTGTGTCAATGACCAAAGCTCTAATTGATTGATAAGGCGCACTGCAAGTGTGGAAGCAGTCGCACACTTGTTCATCGACTGGCTGTGGCCATTAAATCGTGTAGAGAGCGATCGGCATGAGCGGCAATAGACGAGAAGCTGATAAAGCCTCGTCCTCGCCTGATTCATGACACATTAATCAAATCAAATTATGTGTGTGGGTAATATGTAGCTGTGCATGATTATATACCTATACGTATATGCATGAGTATGTTTGTACATAGGTGTGTATTCTTACCATAGGAGCATCGATTTTCATGTTCTCCAGCGGCACATTATGTGTGCGATTCCAGGTGCCCACTTCGGGGAAGCCGAGAGAAATTCCATTGTCGCTTGTTTCATCCAAATCCATTTTTGCAGATTTTCTCTTTGTTGGATGGGAATGGAATGGGTGTTGTTAGCTCGTTTATTAAATTAACGCGTTAATGCTGTCTAGCCACATTTCACTTATTATATTTATCAATGAATATGCATAAACATTTCATGTTTATTTGCTTTCTTTCTTTAATTTTAGCTTATTGCACATATACACGCCACACACACACACACGCGCACAAAGTTCGATTTTTCCCACTTTGTATTGGAGGTCGTCGTTGTCTTAATTTTTCTTTACGATTTTCAGCCGTTTTCATCTAATCTACCCTCTTGCGATAATATTTTTTGTAAGCACGATGTTGTGTTTACACTTTGTTGTGTATTTTTAGCAATTAATTGCAACTATTTAGCGCGTAAATAATTAAAAATAAAATATCAGACGAAACGAAAACACTCCCATCTTGTGCTGCTTCTTGCCACTAAACAGATGTTTGTCATCGATAAGAACAATCAACTGGTTTGTTTCGATATTTTACTTGAGATTGCCGCAAGCAGGTAGCCGGCAGCGGTAACTGCTAGTTACATGGATATTTTATAGATATATTGAGTTAAGTTTTTTTATATAGTTATATTGGTTTCTTCGTTAGGTCTCTATTTACTTTTGTATTAACGTAATGTAATCTAATTCAGTTGTTTGTTTATTCGATATGTAACCGATAGTAGTAACTGGTAGAAATAGCATATGATATAAATTTTATTTTCTAAATAATGTACACATATTTTTCCATTTTTTACTAATTCTAATTCGTATGATTTTAAACAAAATATTGTGGCTTCCGCATTGTTATGCCATGATCGGCCAGAGCTGGCACCAAGTCCTCCATAGCCAAAGTGTATTTGCGATCTTTCGGGTTCTTCTTGTCCTGCAGCAATATTGGTAAATGAATAAGTATATTATCTTGTATATATCAAAGAACTTACTTTGCCGGAGCTGTGTCCGCTGGAGTGCTGTATGTTTGTTGTGCGGGTTTTACAATGCTGCAGCGCATCATTTACAATATCTGAGATGAATTTTTGCGCTGAGACAGAAACGATGCGAACGATTCGTGGATCCACAGAGCCAAAGCCAGACTAAATATATCTTTAATAAACATTTCAGCATAGGGTATTCAGACTAACTTACGCTATTTAGAATGCGCATAGTAAGCGCATCAGGCAACGTGGGCGTATAATCCTCCAGTTGTGTTAGCAATTCCTCCATTTCAGCTTCATCGGTCGACAGGGGGACAGCTTCGACTTCGACAAGGTCATCATCTGTTTCCAGCTCCTGCACTGGCGCATCTTCAACGTCAGTTTCATTTTCTGCGGCAGAAACTTCACTTTCAGATGCCGTCATATTCACATCCTCTCCATCCGATGCCATTATTTATTTATTTGTGTATATTGTTGCAGCACTATGGTTAGTGGTTGCAGTTTGCAGAAAATTAGTGATGACAATAGTCGACAGTGCTGGAAAACATGATTAGGATTGCTTATATCGATATATAATGGTATGCGATGAATTGCAATATTGATTTGTTATTAGACCAGCTGTTTCGGCAAATGTTCTAATCGCTTGGCCGCCACAGTTGACAAGCTGAATATTAAAAGGAAATTAAAACATAAAATGAGTCAAATCTAAAAAATTGAAAAATTCGAAATTAAGTTACTTAAAATATATATAATATGGTTATACCAAAGGAAGTGCTCAGCGACTACAAGGAGCTGTTCGAGAAGTCCAGCCAGCTAGTGGAACAGGACAGTCGCACGGATCCTCCCACAGATCCCTATCGATCCCACTACAAAGCGCGCGACGTCCTCCTCGATTTGAAAAAGCAACTGGATGAGCAGCTAATATCTATACAAGCAGCCGAGGAGGACGGAGGCGAAGATGAGCTGTGCTACAAGTCCATGCTGGGCTTCACATGCCGCGATTTGGGTCGCATTTATATCTACGTTGAGGAAGTCAGCGAGGGTGAGCAGCTGCTGAATCGCTGCTTGGAACTGATGGAGCCGCACAAACACACTCCACAAGGCATCATACCCTATGTGGGCGCAGTCAACGAACTGAGCATTGTGCTTGCCTCGCGGCAGGAGTACAAACAGGCAGTGGAGCTGCTCCTGAAGGCCGACAAGACCTATGAGGAGTTTAAGGCCAGTGGGCAGATAGCTTTAGCAGTAGCCGATCTCTATAGTCCACCTGATGAGCTACAGGCCACCCATGGCGGCGACAAGGAGCTGGAGAATCTCTATACCCTTTGCTGCTTCTACATGGCCCAGATGTATGGGCATTTGGGAGAACCGGAGAAGTCCGCTCAATGCTGCCATCGCACTCTCCACCGACAGCTGCAATACAAGTCGTACGATGCTGTGGACTTTGCGCTCAATACGGCGACACTTTCCCAGTACTATATTGGCCAGGAGCGATTTGCGGAGGCGCGTCATCACCTGGCGGCGGCCACCATTATTATGGCCGAGCACGAGGAGCACATGCTCAAGCCGGAGATGAGCGAGCAACAGAAGGCGGATGTTACGGAGACGTTCAAGCATCGCTATGCGGATGTGGCACGTTGCTGGGCGAAGTACGGCCTGCTGCTTCTGCAAACGTCCAAGGAGCGGCTGCTGCGCGACGACGAAGAAGAGGAGCAGGAGCAGAAGAAGCTGGCAGCAGCAGCCGAGAAGCTGCAACTGGACGACGCTGACTATCGCTTCGAGGACCTGGATCTGACGGCCATCGAGCGACGCATTAGCTGCGACTACTGTCTGACCTTCGACGATGCCAAGCTGGTCTTTCACTTCATCAACGAGTGGCTGGACGTGGCCAAAGATTACTACAAGGCAGAAACCGAAGCCACCGAATATGCAAAGATTATGCAAGACTATGCCGAGGCCTACGAGCACATTGCCTTCTTCGAGGAGAATCCGGAAAACCAGGCCAAGATGCAAAAGCGACGCGCCAAATACTTGGAGGATCTGCTCGACCTGCTCGACCCGGTGTGCTACTTGAAGATCTGCCGGGAGTGCTGGTATGTGGCAGGCACCGCACATGCAGCCATTCTGGACATCCGCCTCGATGCCATTAAGTCAAACCAGTCGCCCACCCCGGAGGAGGTGAAGCGTGTCAATCAGAGCTGCCTGAAGGCCATCAAGCATTTTGAGAGCTATGTCAAGTCATATTTGGTCAGCGGCGACACCCAGCAGTGGAAGCCCGGCATGGACGACGAGGAGGTGCGCACCATGCTCTACGCCCACTTCCACATCGGTCGCCTCTACTACAAGCTGATCAGCGCGCATCCCCAGCAGCAGCTGGAGCAGCTGAATCAGTGCTTGACCTACTACAGGCGCTTCAGCGATGCCTGCGACCAGCACAAGGAGGCCTCCAAGCAACTGCACGGCGAGATCGGGGTGGTGCGCGAGATGCTGGAACTGTTGCCGCTCAAAATTAACACTGTGAAACGTCGTCTGGAGTGAATGTGCATGATCGACCAAGCTTTATAATTCTTTGACTAAAGCAATACGCTCTAATCCAATTCCTTAACTCTGCTATCCATAGGCTAGTCGGATATGCCCCATACGCTATATACGAATGCATTCTATAACTATACTTAATTTATTGCAAGCAACTAAAAATAAATATTGATTCCGTCTACCGGGTCGAGCCTTCCAAGGGAAGTCCTTAAAATGAAATAGCGTAATCTAGTAATATATTATGGATATATAATACGATTTAATAAGTATTCAGTATCCATTAACGACCTTAAACAATTAATAAATCGGAAAGGACTTTAAACCTCTGCCCAACTTCCCATTGGCTTAGACTTACGGATAGCTAATTTCAAGTCTTTAACCCTTTAGCCAATTGCCAATGGCGTAGAAATACCCATTGGATTTAGGATTCTTAGGCCTATTATAATTAACTGATTGAAAACGACTTTAATCTTCTATTCATTGCATAATGCAATAGTGTAGCAATAGATTGAATCTATATTTAGTTTGAAACAGACGGAACAGGTAGATAGGATCCCGGAATCTTTCGGATTCTCGGCCCTCCCTAAAATGGCAGGCCCGTGTTTGGAGTGGACTTCTTGCTGGCTATTCTCACTGCCAGCGGTGATTGGCAACTGGGATGCTTGAATTGGCGCCTCTTCTGGAGCTGCTTCTGTATGTCGTTGCCCAGCTTACGGATGGGCAGTGCCGTAATCCCATCCAGCAAATTCTCCTTGGCATATTGTAGCGTAAGCTCTATCAGTTGCTCGACATTGATGGCACGCGGATCTACCATGGGCTCGCGCTCCAGTACATCGACAAGAATGCGCATAGTCTCTTCGGCCTGGAACTCCTCGAAGGGCAGCACCTCGATCAGTTCCTTGAAAATGTGCAGCACCAGGAACTGGGTGCGATTGACCACCTCGGCGGCAGGACGGCCGCAAAGCGAATCCTTCGCATGATCAAAGATGCCCGAAATCAACTCTTCGGTGTTCACATCGGAACGCTCATAGTCAAAGACGGCGATCACCTCGTTGAAGAGCTTGCGCAGATCCTCCGCCCCGATGTGTATAAAGTATTTCTTTGGCACAATCGAGCCCAGGTGCTCCGTGATGCACTCGGCTATGCGATCCGTGTACCGGCCCTGGAAGCTATAGGCAGCCTGGCAAAGATAGAGCGCCGATCTCTGCGAGAATTTTCGTATGTTCTCCGCTGTTGTGTGCCGGCCCAGGAACTGATTGAAGCTCTTCTGTACGATCGTGTGAACGCGATCCATGATAAACTCATCGGGCATCGGCGGCAGCATATAAGCCTCCACATTGAGTATGGCCGGACATATCTCCGGCTCGTTATCCATCGGCAAAATCTCCTTGTTGGTGACAGTCACCGTGGACTCCGGATACAGCTCATTGATCTGCAATGGCTTAGCCTTCAGGCGTAGGGCGCAGATCTCCCGTTCCAGACACTGCGAGCAGGAGGATTATCGACTAATAGCATAATTCTAGATGAAAG